TTCAAAATTCTGTCTACACCATATAAATAAATATACCTTCAGTTGTTTGCTAAGTTGTCGCCTGCTCAAGATTCCAAGTTTCTGACTCTGCAACTCAAAGCTTCCACCAGTGGTTAATAATATTATTAAACCTTTTATATATAAATATAGGGTAACTATATATGATATATTTTTGTGCCTTTTTCTTCGAAATTTTATTTTGGGTGAAATTTGAGCACAGCGTGCTACAAGCCAAGCTTAACTTAATATTATTGTATATTATAGTACAGGCAAAACAGCCTATTAGCAATTGGGCACAGTAACGTCATAACTAATAGCGGCAAATGAGTAAAAAATTTGTATTAGTAATTTTAACAGACCTACATACAACAATGTTTAAAAGGCAATTATCGATACTGCAGTGGCATTAAATTTTACAATTATTTTTGTTACAGTAATATTTTAGCTCGAATTGCTTTTGAGTAATTACGTTGATAACAAATCTAGCTGTCGGCGTGATGTGCTTTTTGACTATATACAAAAACAACTGATAAACAAAATGTAAATAAATAAATAATAATAATTAAAGGCGCGAGCAAAGTGAAAAGCAATAAAATCAGAAAATTTAATATATGGTATTTAGAAAAAATTAAAAAAATTACGTTTTTTGGAAAACATATATATATTTTTCTAAATTTGTATGTTTTTATTAGAAATTAGTTTAGAAAATAATAATTTATGCATTCAAGGAAATACTTGTATATGATTTTATAAACAATATGATGCTTGAAATTTCAGCATCAGCAGCGCCTACACCTTTTAAGGGATGCCACTTGCGAATTAAAAAAATAAAATAAAAGCGATTATTATTTATTTATTTTAAGAAATTGTATTGACAGTATAAAATTAAAATACAATAAAGAAAGTTATAAAAAAAATCGATTGATTTGCATATATGGCAAGTATATAGAATTTACAAATATTTGTAAATATTTTTTGAAAATTTGTAGTTTATGCGGCAAATAATTTCGGAGATAAGAGCGTATTCATAAGAATTTTTTAACTTAGTGTAATCGCTCAGAAATATTTCTCCGAAACAGCTGATCGGATTAACTTGTAATTTTCACACACATTTCTTAGAAATATTTATCAGTTAATGCTTGAACTAATAAGATTTCTATACCCTGAACAGGGTATATTAAGTTTACCACAAAGTTTGTAATACCCACAAGGAAACGTCGGAGACGCTATGAGCTGAGTTGATGTAGCCATGTCCGTCTGCACGTCCGTCTGTATATACGTGAACTAGTCTCTCAGTTTTTGAGTTATCGCTTTTAAATTTAGCATATAACCTTTTCTCACCAAGAAGCTGCTCATTGGTCGGAATGGCCGATATCGAACCACTACATATGCCATACAATTTGAACAATCGGAATCAAGTTTTTGTATGGAAAACTTTTCATTTGACGAGATATCTTCACGAAATTTAGAACGGATCATTATCTAAGGCAATAATAGAATCTCCGCAGAAATTATTCAGATCGAATGACTATAGCATATTGCTGTCATACAAGCTGAATGGTCGGAATCAAGTTCTTCTAAGGAATCTTTTGTGTTTGTAAAGGGTATTACATCAACCGAAGTTATTGTTTTTTCTTGTTAATAACAATTTCGATATTTTAAGTCAATCTGAGGTGTAAATTTTTTCCCAAAATTTAATTTTTATTTAAGTAGCCAACATATTGTGAAAAAGCAGAATTTTGACTAGTCCTTCCATAATTAGCTATATTAATCTAATGTTAAAATAAATGTTTTTGGTTTTTAGATTTGAGTTAGTTATAAGCAGAAAAATCTTTCTCACCGCCAGACACAATTTTTGCAGAGGTCCCACTTTAGATCGGCTACAGGATCAAGGGATGCCGAAATTTTTTATTATTTCATTATTATTTTCCCATTGCATTCTGTAAAATGTACATTAATTTATTTATTTACAAGTAAAAAATGCCTTGTCCACAAAAAATTCATGAAAAATTTGCTACATTCGCATTTTCTGACCTGCAAGTGCATATGGTATATGGTACATACATAATCACTTAACAAGAATTCAACATATTGAAAGGTAGAAAAGCTAAAAACGACAAAAAACGCTACCAATATGGAAACTTTTAGTGAAAATAACGTCGAACGAAGTAAAATGTGGTTAGCACGCATCTGTTTGTATATACGAGTATATACAAAGTGAAGCGACAACGCGTCTAGCAAGCACAAAAACACACAAATAAATGCCTGCAACTACATATACTACAAATATACATATGTAAATATGTTATTTGACCATCAAAAATCATTTACCAAGAAGTGACAATTACATTTGACGCACTAAACGCGAGTTTATAAGAAATTATGAGTGCTGCCACAAACGCTGTTGGCCACCACCCACGCGGTACACATGTCCTTAAATGCACATACATACATAGTTACATATTTAATTTATTTAAGTAAGCATATATATATATATATATGTGAGTTACTTATTGTACAACAAAGCACAGGTGTGAGCATATGCAATCGTACAAACACACTTACTGCTATGTACATACGCTCACAGTCGCTGCTTGGCACTACGACTTCTTGGCACATGTTGTTGGCTTTAAGGTGGAAAATAACTAACTAACTAACTAACGCAAAGGAGTGTTTGTAATTTTCACTGTGTGCGCTTTTTGTTGTTGTTTTTGTTTTACTCCATTTTTGGGTAATCGATATTGTAAAGGTTAAAAACTTGAAATTGGCTGCTGGCGTGTGTCGTCCACTGGCGCTGCCGTTCGCGGCTGCCTTTGATCCTGCGCCCACCGCTTGTCGTTTGCCGTTCGCCGCTTGCCAGCGCTTGACTGCCACATTTACCTTATTGGTATTTCAACATACATATGTATATACACACACATGTGTGTGTGTGTTTGTATATTTGTTGATTATCCAACCCTCAGGTTTGATTATGAAACTTAAATTATTAATATTACTTGTGTGTTTACACAGTTCTAAATATTTAACCTAATTTTTTGGGTTGTTTTTTGGTTTTTTGGTTATGGATTACTTTGTTGGCCGTGTATTTTACTTACAAGTAGTTATTTTTGTTTTTTTACTTCAAAGGATACACAAGGATATGTGCGTGCTCGTTGCGTTGTTTGCGTGCATGTGCATATACATACATACATACGTTTATGTGTATGTGTGTAATTTTCTCGTCGTACATATATACATAATCGTACACTTTTATCACTCACTTAAGGATGTGCTTTCGAATTTTCAAGGTAGACTTTAGACTTTCGACTTAATTTGCTGTTTTCAACTTTTCATTTTCCGTCCGTATTTCTATGCATATATTTTGCTAAAATTTGGCAAAATTTCGATTTTCACACTGCTATTTTTTTAATTGCTACAACAGCGCACAGGATATTTTTTGCAGTAAATGCGCGCAACGCGTACTTATTGCTTGCTGATGTGGCGACTTTTCACGTAACTTTTTAACTGAATTTTCCTTCTGCTACAGAGACTTTTATTGCCGTTCAATGCTCGGCTTTGCCATTCGTGAATTCGCTCGCTGTTTGCATGCCAACTCTCGTCGCCGTTGTAGCTTTGGCACAGCTGTCATTCTATTTCTGCTGAGCGCATCTCTGCCGGTACGCCGCTCTTTATACACACACGTTTATGTATATATCGAACGGTTACATTACTTGTTTGCTTGCTGTCTTTCAACACTGCACCACCCTGCCAACCCACAGTAGTGCGGCAAAAACAGCCATTCATCGATATCAGCTGCTGCAGCGCGCTTTTGGGCGCACATACAACCCCTTCATGTTTTCAGGCGACTGTGTGTTGTCTGTGTTGATGTCCTTTTTCGTTTGTGTTTTGTTTTGCGAGAGACAGAGCGGCGTCGTCGCTGTTTTCTTCGAAGTATCCCAGTCGCCACTGTTGTTTTCAGTTGAGAGTTGTTGATGTTAATTTGTCATTCAGCTAGGCGTGTTTCGGAAGCTCAATACAAGATATTATTTACCAAAAATTTTAAAGCGTAAGCTTGATTATACTTTTTATTAGTTTTATATTAAATTAGTAGAATTCGTATTTGTAATATTTTTCAAGATAATACGAATTTAGTACACATACACAATAAGGGTAACAGTTGGAACCATAAAATCGGATTGCAACAAAAAATAATTATTATTTCAAGATTTTTGTTCACAAAAACAAAAACTCCCTTCACCTCATACACATTAAATAGCGCAGTTTTCGGCGCATATAAAAGGCATATTTTGTTTGAAACTCCTCCGATTTGCTGTTATTGAATTAAGATGTCTGCAAATATGAATTAAAGGTGTTGTTTTCTGTTGTTGTTATTGTAACGGCTGAAAACATACATGAAGTGATTTGGAAGTATGCTGCCGAGTTGACAGTTCTTGGTCGAATACAAATCAGGGTCCGTTCCGGTTACTTAGACCCGACTGTCTATGGGTTGTTGGTTCCGTTTACTGAACATCTTGGGAACCAATATTTTGCTTCGCATAGTTGGCAATGCGCCATTAGATTAACATTGCATAATATCAGGCATTTATTACAGCCTCTGTACATATACATATGTACAGTTACTGACAAAAAAATATGAAATAGATGATTCGGAAATTATTTATTTTTTTTTTGGCAAATAGTTGTGAATAAAATTTTTATTCTATTTTATTGCCAGTAACTGTATATATCGAAAAACCAATGCATTATATGTACAATTAACGTGAAGTTATGTTATCCTTCCATTTCCGTTCTTCAAATTCTCCCCTGTTGCCAATAAAACACGTTACAGCAGCTGATTTTATAAATTACAAGTTTAAATATATTTCCCAGTCACAAAAGTACGCCGATACATACATACAAACTATATTGATTTATATAATACATATTTTATTTAAAATTTATCGATAGCGCCAAATAATAAATTATGTAATACATATCCGTTAAAAAATTGTAGCAATAAATAAATTGACGTGGAAAGTTCCTTGTTTATTATGGTAGTTTTTTTTTGGAATGAATGGTTTTTTATATAAAATTTGCACAGCTACAATAATTTTTACAATTCACTGCAGCGTTATTTACCGTTATGATTACAATGTCATATTTAATCTTTGTGTAGCACTTAGTTTACAGAAATTTGTTTGCATTAAGCTTACTTCGTTTAATGTCACTAAGAATTTGAGTACATATAATTTTACAAATTATTTTCACCCTAATTCCATTTTCAATGCATTTGCGCTAGTGAATTTATAAAATTCTACTGGGGTCTAACTAATCTTCATAAGATTTTATTTTTATCATGCTTCCTGCTGCTATGCCTTGGTATCTTTAAAAGCTAGTTTTAAAGTAACAAGCTTTTGTAGGTACATTTTTGCTATTGCAGAACAAAATATAATATATAAAAACTTAAATTTTCATCGACAGTCAAAAGTAGGTTTGCGCTTCAAAGGCCTCCTATTTGTTGTATTAATTTTCACAATAAATATATTTATGTGGAACTAAACGTTTCATACACATTGGCACCAAATACTTTGCTCTTCTCATCAACCAAATAAAATGTGATCAACGAGGTGGCTAAATTTTGTGGACGCGACTTTTCATCAAAACCTTGCGATGTTACGCCACTTACAATCGGTATAAGCTTAGCCAAAGCCATTTCTACACTATTTATACTGAGTACACTATTTGTCATTGCTGTTGCCACATCGCCACCCTCATTTCCTTTGTTTGTGGTTTTATTCTCCGCACTTGATGTGCTCCTTTGCGCTTGCGTTAATGTCTCGCCAATACTTTCTGCCACGGCATCTACTGTCAAGGAAAAGCCACGACAGATACTGTTCGCGCATACGCTAGCTGCATCATCGCTCTCCAACAAGTCTAAGGTTTCATTGTACATTTTTTGTAATAGTGGTCCCACTGTATTATATTCTGGTATTTGCGGTGGCAATAAGTATGTGGCAATTTTTGAATTGGGATCGCCTATATCGCTATTGATAGCCATTTGTAGTGTCCAAAAAAGTTGTTCTAGATCAGAGAGACTAAAACGCTTCGACAGCGGCAATGTTTTCATAACAACAAGCACTTTTGCACGTATTACACGTATTAGCTCACTTAAACCACCATCGTGTATGAAATAACCAATGAGTGAGAGATACTGTTGCTTCAGTTCTTCAGCGATCTGCTTTCTTTCCAACGTGACGTCTTGGTATAAGTAACCGCCAAGCAAATTCATTTGTACACGCAAGGCGATGACCAACATTGAAGAGGCATAAATGAATGTTGTGAGACGCGTGAACGCGACAATCTTCATTTCCTCCCACAATTCTAGTTTATTAGGTGGATTCTGACGAAGTTGTTCGAGCAAGGCATTGGTATTGCATTCACGTATTATGGCTGCATACAATTCTGTGCCCATGCCAATGATTACCTTATTGCAGGTGTGTTCTGTTGTTTCAAAATGTTGCATACGTTTTGTCTTTTCGAAAAACTCGCGTGCTTGACGCGTTTGATATTCAATAAGCTTTCGCTGTGCATATTTGATGGCTACGTATGTGCCTCCAACTAAAACGCCTGTGACAATAAATTTTCGTCGGTGCCGTGTGGCGAAATCACGAAGTCGACTGAACATTTTTTTTTGTTGTTGATGAGCTTAAAATGGTGTTGCGAAATCTCTTCAAATATATGTATTAAAACTTCTTTTCCTGCAACAGAAGTGAGTGATTTTGTTAATTCAGAAATTCTAAAGTAATGTGCAAAGTTTACATTTTAACTTGGTAGTGAAACCTGTTAAGATTAGATTATCTTAGAACTTTATTCAAATGTATTTAAACTTATTGGTTATCCACCCATTTTGCACAAATCAATCAATACAAATAATACTTACCTAGATTTTATTTAGTTAGTATAGTTTACAATTGTTTTGTTGCCTCCTTCTTTTTCTGCCCACACATTTATCGTCTTATTACTGCAAATATTTAATTATTCATAGTTTATTGATTAGCACTGATTTATTAGCTGCTTCAAGCAATGGTATGTGAACATACATACACACGGGATCATTTATTGACAGACTTTTTATATACAAATTCTAACTAATAATACTTAATTTTTTATTTCGTTAAGAATTTTCTAAAAGCTTTAAATAAATTACCAAAGTACGAAGTCCGATTTTTATTTATTCAATAGATGAAAACCTGCACCACTAAATATTGAAAGATGTCAAACAATTGTACAGAAATTAATAAATGACAACAAAAACCAGATGACATTTCTGCTGACTTATCTACCGAAATGCCAAATGTCAGAGTTGCATCAAAAGCTTAACCTTTCTTATACCGTTAAAACATAATTTTGTGGTTATTTATTACCTTCTTGATAGGAAATGGTTAAGTATTTTGACTGTTGGAACAACAAGCGGATACAACAGAAAGTGGATAAGTAAATAGAGCTTATGCTTCTATTAGTGACCGACCCAAAACCGTAGACCGTATCAGCTGATACGACCTATCAGCCAACACAGTATATAACACCATCGCTTCTACCGATGTGGTTGTTAAAAAGCTAGCTGTGTGCAAAACCAGCAAATTGAGCAATGGCAGATTGCTCAAAAGGGAACAACTGATTTCTACGTTGACACTACGGGCATAACTTTTGACAAATTTCGTTTGATACGGCCGGTAAGTACGGCACGTCAGTTACTAGTTTAAGCAGAGAATGTAAAATATCTATCTCTGTATATAATCTACATTCTCTGCAAATAGGAAAGAGAAGGAGCGATTAAGTAAATAAACCTTTATCATATCTAGAGTAGTAAAGTAATATAAATTAAGTAAATAAGGCAATTAACATTCATCAACAGAACTTTATAAATTTTTCAACAGAGTTAAAGACACAACTGAAGGCGTCACACAATATGGCTCAACCTCAAGTAAAGTCGGTAGCTGCTGCGAAGATAGTTAGTAAAAAGTTAATCATAGTAACTGGATTTGGACCATTTGTTGGTCATGAAGACTTGAACGCCAGTTGGGAAGCTGTACGTCTTTTGCCAGATGAGATTACTTGGCATGGTCACCATTATACGCTAGAGAAACGGGAGATACCAGTTGAGTATGATGCGGTGGACAAAGCTGTCGAAGAAATATGGTCACACAACCCACAAGTAAGCAAAACAGACAGTGCTACTTGTTTCTAATAAATGTTTAATTTATATTTTAAAAGCTTGTTATACATTGTGGCGTTCATGGTAGTGCAAGTTGTATACATGTAGAGAAGTTGGCATATAATCATAAATTCACAAGACCGGACTATGCTCGTCAACATCTGCCAAAGTCTTCAGCATGTTTAGTGAATTGTAACACCACTATAAATGATAATTATATCTTACATTGTGGGTTAGATGTGGATAAAATCGTTCAAGTGGTTGCTGAATCATGTGAGTGCACACCAACTGCTACAGAAGATGCTGTACGAAGTACTGTGAATGTAGAACCAGTGGCGTTTACAGTTCTTAAAAGTTCAAATGACGTCGGCAATTATTTGTGTGGATACATATATCTAAAATCTCTTGATAGAAATAGGAATCGCACTTTATTCATACATGTACCACCTATAAATTGCCCATTCACATCAGAAGAAACGAAGGAGGTGGTGTTGCGAATAATTGAAGAATGTATTCGGCAAGTTATGGAAAACGGGAAAGAAGATTGTTAAAATATTTATTAACATTTGCTATACATTTGTGTCTTATAATTTTATCAGATGATAAAATTGAAAATCTTTGTAATTTATATAGTGTAACAAAGTATTATAACCAGAGAATGTATGTTTTATCAATTTTTTAAGTAAAGTTTAAATAGTAAAATATAAGTGATATTTTACTTTTCATTGCAATCAACCATATATAGTAGGGTCCTGCTGTTAGTTATGTATTATTAGTGGTATAATCATTTATAAATGCATTTCCTTTAAATAAATGTATAAACAAATAAAATAGCAGAGAACGTAAATTATGATATACGTTCTCTACATATATTTTTCGGAATACAAAATAAATTGGCAACACTTACATGCTCAATCCACAAATAATTTGGCAGCACTAAGTGTTGTTATTGTCAGAGAACGTAAATTATTATAACTTTTATATTTTACGTTCTCTGTTCCCACCTTCCATAAATATTCATATATTAGAAAATTTGCATCGAAGTTTTGTGTTGAAAATAACCGTGAAATAGATAAATTATTTAAATCATGACACGACACGCTCGTAATTGCACAGCCGGTGCAGTATATACCTATAATGAAAAGCGGCGTGATGCCGCAGAATCAGGCTATGGCACCAAAGCACAACGGCTTGGAAAAGATTCGGTTAAGTCTTTCGATTGTTGTTCGCTAACATTACAACCTTGTCGTAATCCTGTGATAACGAAAGAAGGCTACCTTTTTGACAAGGAAGCTATTTTGCAATATATAATTACAAAGAAAAATGAATACAGTCGTAAATTGAAGGAGTACGAACGTTTGCGCCGTCTCGAGGAGACAGAGAACGCGCAGGAGTTGAATCTTAAACAACAAAAATGCATTGAAAAGTTTGTAAACGCTGGTAAACCAGTCAATGAGAGTGCCAGTGATAAAAAATCTGCAGACGTAATTGCTATAAGTCCAAGCACTTCTGCAGCTGCCGTAGCTGCTGCTGGTGGCTCTATCTCTAACATGGCCAATGGCAATGAAAAGAAGTTACCTAGTTTCTGGGTGCCATCTGAGTGCCCAAATGCTGGTGCTGCAAAAGCAAACAAACCTGATTCAACCATTTATTGCCCAGTATCCGAGAAGCCTTTAAAAGTGAAAGATTTAATAAATGTAAAATTTACGCTAATCAAAGATGGTGATAATAGCCGTTCACTTATAGCAAAAGAAGCGCGTTACATGTGTCCCGTAACACATGATGTGCTCAGCAATGCTGTACCCTGCGCTGTGTTGCGACCAACGTGAGTTTGAGATGTAATATATATAGAACTATACATATATTTATTTCACAAATCTTATATTTTGCAGTGGCGATGTGGTTACTATGGAATGCGTTGAGAAATTAATTAAGAAAGATATGATACATCCTTTGACGAATCAGAAATTATCGGAAAAGGATATTATACCCTTACAGAGAGTGAGTTTGCAAATAATTGCACAAAGAATAAATTTTCCATGTAAATAGTTTTGTTTTTTTTATTTATAGGGTGGCACCGGCTATGCTATGACCAATGATAATTTAAATGCCAAGGAAAAGCGTCCAATGCTGCAAGTTTAGATTTAAAATCAAATATTTGTTAGTTTCAAATTAATATTTTAAGTGTCTCGTGTTCAATAAAAAAAACTTCTAACAGAAGAGTTTTGAAAGTTCTGCTATTTATATACCTAAATAACTGTAATAGTGAACTTTAACTAATTGCGCACGTTATAACTAGTATACATAATTTTTTATGTGCAGATAAAATTTCACTTGTTTTTGTTTCCTTATCTTTGTATCTGACCTTAACCCAAATTTATTCTGCAAAGTTAAGTAATTTTATAAGTTCATTGACTGTAATAGGAAACAAAATTATCAGTCAAATCAAATTCAAGATAACAGCATACATTAATGGCAGTTGAAGAGTCAATAAACGATATTGAAAACACTATCTTTTACAGATCCATGTGTCAACGGTGACCTTCTAACCATCGAATATAAACGCTTGGTAATGCTACAGAGACATTAGAAAGCAATCAACAGCAAGTGTGAAAGAGTACTTTTATTAAAATACTTTTAATTTTGTTAAAAAATAGTATTATATAAAAAAACAAAGGCTTTAAAATGCAAACAAGCTTTTTAAAAATTTTATCACTTTTGACCATCATCATTAGCACTCAAGCAGAGTCATTCAAGCAGTGCAAAAATGCCGCTGAAGGCACTTTTGTTGCGGTTGAGAACAATTGCTTAGCTTACATTTACTGTCGAGACGATGAGTCCTTCACCGATTTATGCCCTGCTGGCACCTATTTCGATGCAGAGCAACAACAATGTTTGATAGATGAAGATGGCTCCATGTGCACAACTTCTATGGCTCCGCCCACGGAAGCAGTGACGCAACAGCACATGTTAACACAGCAAGCGCTAACTGCGACTACAGCGACTGCGACGGCTAGTACGTCTACAAGCGGGCTGTTTTCGACAAACACTTTGCCACCACGCCCACAATGCAAATCAACCTTGGATGAGTACTTTCCATATCAGCAGCGCTGTGAGTACTACTATCGCTGCACGCGCGGTTATTTGAGCATTTTGCGCTGCAGTCTGGGTTATGGCTGGGATTTTCTACAAGAGAAGTGCGTGCCACTCAAAGAAGCGCAGTGCTTTAAGGCAGTGCGGGCGCATGTTTATAGTTTTTAAGTTGTAATTTTAAGTGTTTTGTTTTTATGTATAAATGTGATGGCTTAGCATACAAATGTGCATGTGTGTGTATTTAATTCGATTTTGCTCGAAAGTATGCAAATGTTTTTAAGGATTTTTAAATTCTGCCTTTTAACCCTTACTACTCGGCTTTCTAGGTATGTTAGTATTTACTAATTAGAAGCAGTAGGTGCAATAATATAAATAAAACAAACAGTGAATCATATATTATTACTTTCTTATATTGTTGAAGAAGTAGAAGATGTGTGTTATATAAAATTTATGAATGATATGGTGCAAAGCAAATTTTGCAAAGCGGAACTTGGCACTCTTTACAAATTGTCTGTATTTTTTTGAGTGCTATAATTAGCACAACGACGTTGGGTAGTTGCTTCAACAGGAACATTGCCTTCCCATTGGCAAAGGCAATTCATTCGGATATCTCAAAAACTGACGAAGAAATTTTTATAATCCCGAAAAAAAACTTCAGACCCATATGCTCTTAGGCAAAAATGTTTACATATAAAGGTATCTTGGTCATTAGTTTGTGGAAAACATGAATTATAGTCGAATGGCGAGATATGCAGTCCGCTACTGTGCAGTTACGAGTATTTTAAATATTGTTTTTAGGTACAAATTCCTCGTAAAAAGCACTCCAAATGGCATTTACGGCAGGTTTAGAAATGAAGTCATTATTGTCATCGTCATTATAGACAAAAATTTCCGCGGAAATCGCATCCAGCTCATACACTGTGTTGTCAGCTGAATCCCCGTTTTTGCTAGAGCAAGAGGCATAACTTGGTACGAATTCGGCAGAGCTTCCTCCAGTCTGTAAAGTTTTTCATGCCGCTATTATTAACTATTTCATCTTCCAAAATTTTCTGCATATCTTCAGAATCCATTCACATTATTTACTACCTATCGAACTATAGAAATAAGCACAAAAACAATGTATTTTTTATAAATACTTAGCAGTCACAAGTGTAAACAGACGAGTAAGTTGCAATATCACTACATTTAAATATTTTCAAACTAAATATTTTGCTGAAATTCCATAAAATCTTTAATAAACCAACCAAGCACTTCACTCTGGCTGCGTCGTAACTCACAAAGAACAGTGTTGTAAACGCAAATGACAGAATTATTTAACGGTACTTTTTAGAATGTATTCAGAAATACTTAAAGACGATATGGTATATGCAACAACCAAGCAACATTGAATTGGAATTTTTTAGAGATCTTTGAACTTTAGGTGATACACATATACAAAAGAAATTTCAAAAATTAGTTTTTATCGTAAGAATTCATGTGTCAAATCAACTGCTTTAGGATGTTTGGTGTTATTGTTTGAAATTAAAAACAAGAAAAACCGTTAACTTCGGCTGCACTTATACAGCAATACTCTTCACAAATACAAAAGATCAGTGCCATGCCGAATTTGGTAAAGATATCTCGTCAAGTAAAAAGTTTTCTCTATAAACCCTTGATTTTGATCGGTCAGTTTGTATGGCAGCTATAGGCTGTAGTAGTTCGATCTATTGTAAAAAATTTCTTCGGAGATTGTAGTGTTGTCTTGAAAAAAAATACATGTCAAATTTCGTGAAGATATCTTGTCAAATAATAAAGTTTTCCATAAAAGAACTTGATTTTCAACGGTCAGTTTTTATTTGCAGCTATATACATATATGCTATAGTGGTCCGATAACGGCGGTTCCGAAACATGAGCAGTTTATTGTAGCGAAAAAGACGTGTGCCAAACTTCAACGCGATATCTTAACATAAAAACAAAAACCACGTGACAATCATTTGCGATGCAACCACGTTCTTAATGCCAGTTTGTCCTTTTTTAGTTAAAGTTTTACCGTTTTTAAAAGGACCCGCATGCTACTACATTCAATTTACAGTAATCCAACAAATTTTTTGTCATTGCTGCCTCTTGTGGCGTTCCTGCACAGTATCTATCATTTTTGCTGGTACGATTAGAACGAAAATCAGTAAACCAGTTGTGGCCCATATGTAGCACTCAAATTTGAACAACTGTATTGTCATTTTAGTTATATACAATACCGTTACAACGATTTCAGCTTCAGATTGATTGAAGTAATTTTTCGAAAAAAAAGTCTTGAGCCTAGTTTGATGCACAACTTCTTACATGTCTGCACACAAATTTCATAGAATACAAGGTAACGACAATCGTTGACGTCATAAAATCAACAGCGTCATATCGACAGTGGGACGAATTTGAAAAAAAAAATTAGTTATTTTACTGTGTTTAATTTTTGCGTTTTTTGTTGAAATCATTATCTGCTTCATTGTATGTTAAGATAGACTTAAACACAACTATGTATGTATGTGAATCTTACGCAATTTCAAAAGACTGTATTCTTTGAAATCATGCACTTTAAAATTATTGAAGAAAAAATTAAAATTTTTTAAACTTTAGTTTTTGAGAAATCGTGAGACATGTACAAAGCTATATATTATATAAGTATTTCTATTATATAATGTTACAGAAATAGTCTCATTAACTTCTTATTATAAAAAATTTTTCATTGTGTTTAAGTTTGGCAAAGTTGTGCAAAATTTTGATATTTAAATTTCTTTATAGCATTCATGTTACTCACACGAATTTTGTATATATCTTTGCTAACAACAACCCATGGTACATTTCAATTACGTTTCGAATTTTTCTAAGCGATTTTTGCATAATTTAACGCTCTACTACTTCACAAACAGATTTGAACTAATAAAAAAAAAAAGTAGAAAATATCTATATATAAATATAGTTTTTGATAAGCAATTTGGGGCAATGCGCGCCCGCCACGAATTTACAAATTTTATAACGAATTTGTCAAATGCTATCAGGTAATTAGAGTTGCTATGTACGTTAGTCTGCGCATATATATAGCTTTTTATATTTTTTATTTGTTTTATTATTATTATTAACTCAAAAATTCTTGCATTTCAGGCTATTATATAGTTTTATATATAGTTTTTCGGTTACATCCGACACTTTATTTATCAATATATGCACATTTACAAGATTATTTTCAGCAACAAAATATCGCAAAATAACATAATTACAATATTATTGTGATTTCGTAGAAAGAAAAAAAATTTTCGAACATTTATAATGTCGGTTATCGAATGCATCTATGTTGACAACAAATATTAACACAAAACTCATAATCAAAAATTGTGTGCTTTCCGACAGAAATCAACTAACAAGCTGGTTACAAACATGTAACTAAACAAGTTAAATTAGCGCAGCTGATCGCCTCTCAATTGAAAGGTAACGTCATAATCAAATCTGACACAGCAAGGGCATGCACTGCGGCGAGTGAGCGATGCAAAAAGATAAATTGCCAAATGAACGAAGCTCTTATCAGTCGGATGGCGTAGATTTGCAATTATCATCTGCGAGCGATATGCGATGCAAATCGTAAGTGCGAGCAACATAAGCCGCTATTTAAAGCGCACGAAGGTCGTCGAATCGGCACAGTACACCACGGCGCGCAGCAAGTTCAAGTGCAGATCGACAGCTGATTTTCATATAGCAAACTAAAACATTTGAGTTTTTCTCATATTTTATCGCGCACACGAATTTTCTTTACCCATAGCATGAAATCACAAAAGATATGCACTCGAAATATACATTTTTGCTCAATTCAACTAACCGTTAACATTTGTACGATATTGGCAACAATGTTGCTGCAACATGTTGCTGCCGCAACTGAATTTGTTTCACACAAAGATTGTAACAATGCGCCGAAGGGCACAATTATTGCCAATCCCGTCAATTGCAGCCAATATATAATTTGTAACGGTTTGCGTTCCACGTTGGGCGAATGTCCGGCCAATACATATTTCAATCCGAATGTTTTGTCTTGCGACAAAACGTATTTGGCCTGCAGCGGCAACAATATCATAATAACAGTGTCACCAACAACAACAGCTACAACAGTTACAGAAGCTGAAGAGTCGTCTACGTTCACGCTTTTGCTCATCACACGTCGCTTACTAAATACCTATCAACGTCCGCTAGGCAATAACGGGCCGGGCAGCATTGCTTTTATATTGAGTTTATCATTGGCGTTATCGCCGGCTTATGGGCGTCCTGTCTGCATCAGCTGGTACGATCAGCAATTCCCGCATGCCAACAACTGCGAGTACTATTTCCAATGTGTTAGCGGCTTTCTCAGTGTGCGTCGTTGCTATTTCGGTTTTGGCTGGGACTTGAATCGCCAGCAGTGTGTGCCCATGCAGCAGGCGCATTGTTTCCGCCCAAAGCTCGTACGCTAGTGCGCCGCTGCGCTTTGTTTGTTTTGTATTCTTTTGTTGTTGACATTTTGTTTAATGCACAAATTTGTTAGTTGCTTGTTTTTATTATTATTACGAGCTGTTTTGATGAAGTACACTCGTATAAACATTAGTGTGTGTGCCGGAATCTTTATTTAGTTGTATGAAAATAATTTAAGTGTAGCATTAAGTGTTTGAAAATGACATTTAAATTATTAAAATAAATTAAATTGTTTGTTAAAATACATTTTAAAAAATTAAAAATAGTTTTTTTTTCTAGAAATGTTAATTAATTGCCTGTTGTCTACGGGGTAATGTGGCGATAATAATATGAAATAGTCTTCGATATCATTGATGAAGGAATCGGGTTATGGTTAGGTTACAATTCTGTTACAATCACTAACAGATATTTCACTTGGATAGCTTAGAATGTCGCTTCCTTGTGGTACCTATAACTGCCTTACAATGATCATAAATAACATCATAAGTCGACAAAGTCACAAATTTCGTGATTCGGCTAATGTCAGTTACAGCTATCTATCCGAGTAGCGCTGAAAGTATGACTGTCGAGATGTTTCAGCCACAGTCTGTCAAAAGCTGGACAACGGAGAAGAAAGTGCTTGCATGTTTCCACTACTCACCTCAACTTTGATAATTTGCGTCCTTTAATATATTTAGCCTTAACGAATGAATGCCTATTGCAAAATGTCTCGATAGAACTCCTACAAATGCAGTGAGATAAATCTGGTAGCAAACAACTTATCTTATGCTGTAGTTCAGTGGATCTCCTACGTTTCACACTAAACCAGCAGGATCATCGGCCAACGCCTGCTCAGCTTATGCGAGGTTTATCGGTACAGTGCTAGAACGCAGAAGGACGATGGGGATCCAGCTCGTTCCCACTACACACATTACAGCTTGTTGAATGAATCACTACAATTTAAATATCTCCGATCAGCCAACTAACTGTAAAGTCTTATAAGAACAAAGCTAGTAGTATCAGGCTAGTCACTGATAAAGTATTTCCAGAGCGATACGAAAAATTCTATTTTAGTAGTTTATCTCGAGTTGAGCAACTGTATGCAAAATGTCAGTTTTGTTCTTAGATTCACGTTAGAAGAACTTTATTTTGATCGAACAGTTTGTATGAATTCCATATTTGTCTGATATCAACGGCTTCGACAAATGAGCATGCGAAACAGACTAACAGCCAGACAGAAAGACGGACATGACCACATCGACTCAGCTCGTCATGCATTTCATTAATATACTTTAGAGAGTCTCCGACTGAATGTTACAAACTTTTTGGCAAACTCAATATGCCCTGTTTAGGGTATAATGAGATTAATTGACTATATATGGACATCACTCACTTTCCTTGGAGTCGAAATTCGCTTTTTAACTTTTTTTTAGTTGTTAGAAAGGTTGTTGTAGTTTAAGAACTTAAAAGTGTGATCCAGAAAACTGGCTTAATGCCAGCGTTGGAACAAAGGGAGTGACGTGTTAAAGCAGTTGAAGTGAAATGTTGCATGGTTGATAGCATGTTGGGAATTTATTCTAGCATAGACTCTGGTTGGGGTTTGTGCACTCAACTCTTAATAAAAATAAAGCAAGAGGATTGTTTGTATAAAATAATTATATTAATTTTTCATACAATTTTTTTTCATACAATAGGCAAATAAAATGTACTTTAAAACTTCCTATATGGTTTGAATATTATTAAGCAGTTTTTGCAGATTGCTCATACGCCATGGCGAACGTTGAATATTTTGTATGCTCCATATAAAGTCGATTATATTAAAAAAATACAATTGATTTAATAAAAAATATATAAGTGGTATTAAATTTCGTATATAGATTTGAATCTTGATAAAAATATTAAAAGTATTTTTTACATATAAGCATGTACTTATATTATTTGTATATATGTACATATTTAATCAAAATAGTTTTGACAGATAGCAAGCAATTTCTTTGCGCCTTTCGCGCCCATTTGACACAATTTCCATTGAATATATGTTTTGCTGCACATTTTCATATTTATTATTCCATTTCTAAACATTCCTGCTGCATAGTGCGACATAATTTGCATGAAAACTTTTCATAGACGACGGCGATTAGAGCAGTGTAATGCAATTTATAATTTTCGCCGCCATGACTAATGGGCAGCAAATACCTTCGAATACACGGCTCTGGGCAAGAGCAACAACTGACCAGACTAATGGCAAAAAACAAAAAAAAATATATTCTGCAAAGCAGCTACAAGCAAACACACAACTAATGCGGTCCACATGAATTGTTCGTGGATAAAGTGCCTGGCAAAGGCTGTGAAATCAAAATAAATCACAACAATAAATTCGTTGCTGGCCAAAAAGTTCAATTCTTCAAAACAAACGCACAAGCATGCAAAACAACATATGTAGGTATGTATGTGCGTATGTGTGTGTGCGCAGAGCGAAGTGCCTTGCATTGCGACTGAATGACGGCGGCGACACTTTTGCTGGCTGCTGCTGGTGTTGCTGCTGTCGCCGTCGCAAACTAGTCAGCGAGCCCTGACGGCCCAGTTGGCCATTTAGCTAGCCGATCAGCCAGCCGGCCAGCTAGTCAGCCAGCTACACACATATACACAGAAGTGTGCGACCAGCCTAGATCGACCGATCAACGCCCTGTCAGCCACCTCCATCCATTCATTTCCACTCGTATGTGTCCCCCGGTTGCTGTGGTCAGCCCAGAAGCAAACACTTACTCACACATATATACAGATATGTCTGCCTATGCCTGCTTGTATGCACAATCGATCAGGCGAACGAGCAGACAACTAGCCAATCTTTTAGGCCAACTGGTGTGCAGATTCTTCAATGTGGCTGTCGCGTCTAAGCATACAAATATATATGTAGGCACATATTTTATTTTGGCCACAATTCAAGCATACTCAACGGCAATACGAATACAAGTGGCAACGACAACAACAACAACAATGCTGTGTCGGAGAAATCCGCATTTTATCCGCACATTAGTGATTGGAATAATGCAGTTCGTGCCTTCAGTACGCGGTAGTAGTTTAACATAGTCATGCACATTTGTATAATACATTTGTCATGTGTGTGTGTGTGTGTGTGTGTTCGCACTCACATTCCCGCCGCGAATGTGTATTGTAAATTAATTTCACTTGTCCTCTGCGTTGTTGTTGCTGTATAAAATTCATTTTTGTATAATTATTTCGCAATCAAAATGTACTGACAACAACTTAGAACAACAGCAACAAAAAACCACGCTGCGGCTAGTTAGGAAATTCATGTAAAAAAAAAATTAATGCAGAAAACAAATAATAAGAAATTAAAGCAAGTGACAGAAAGTATGTTGAAATTTGTTGGATTGCTAATTATGCGAAAATACAAAATATATATGTATGTACAAATGTACTTGTATGTGAGTATGGCAGTTGATTTTGCAGCGCACAGCTAATTTGCAAGGATTTGACTCATTTGGTGGAACGTTCCGTGACAACAAAATAATATTGTATTGTAATTGTAGTACTGCCTATATTTATAGTATTATAAATATATAAGGACCACCCTAAACGTGTTTTTAATCTAATATTTATACGTTCGCCTGATATTAAGTTTGCCACGAAATTTGTAAAAACAAAAATGCTAATGCATATATAGATACATGGTCAGCGAGACGAGCTTAGTCAGTCCCTCTATTTTTGAGATATTGATCTAAAATTTTGCATGTTTCTAGTAGAAAATGCACCTTTAAATAAGTCACCTGACCTAGCGATGTGTTGCAATCTGTCTAAAAGATATGTTTCCAGGCGGGCAGCAAAGTAGTAGAAACTTCTTCGAATTGCGCTGAAACTGCGTCGAACGCTACTATGACTATAAAGTGTTTTCACTGTTGCACTCGTTGTACGGAGTGATCCAACACGAACCCAACGCGTCGACAGCTGTAGCTTTTAGTAGAAAGCCTGCCTTGTGGACTTTTGTTTGCTTTCATTGCCCCATACTGCTTACTAAAACAAGAATCGAGTCATGGATCGATGTTGCTCTTTCTCCTGTTTTCAAAAATCCGTGAATACTTCCGCTTTCACACTTGAACAAAACCAAACTATCGATGTGGCTGAAAATTTGACATTAGCCGCCTTCGAGAATATACTACACGTTAGTAAGTTCACCTTTGACAGCAATGCCAAGGATAAGTACTAAACGGATTGCTCCTGTAGCTTTTAAAAAGTGTATAATTCTCAAGTGTTTAACTCTCTAAGCAGGTAGAAACCACAGAACATACTCTCCGTCTTTTAGAAACACTTTAAAAGAGGCATATCAAATGTAAATGTACAGTACATAACATAATACTACGTTCGCTTATGTCCAGTATTCAAAAATACTTTTGCCTTACACATTCTCACCAACGAAAACGCTACGTAAGCTTGTCTAAGCCTTTGTGACGTACTCAAACTGTTAGGCGGTTAGTCATTTGTGTAGATGAAACATTTAAAAATATTTTCGAAAACAAAACGATTTATTGCCTCTCAAACAGCAGAAGTAATGGCACCATAATCATCATAAGCTCATTCATCTGCGGCATTGATCTTTGCCGGTGAGGTGTGCTCACTTTCGCAATTCTCACGCTAAAAGTACACTTATAGTGAAAATTGCGAGGAAAAAAGTGTCAACAGTACACTAGTCAGAGTGTTTCGAGCATGAGAGGCGACAGTTTTAGCTTTGAGCGCTGTGCGTGTGTGCGGTGTGTGCAACGTTTGATAGAGGACGTTTTCGAAAATGTTGGCGAAAATTCAAAAATACCAAAAGAAAAAAGTTGAAAATCTCTGCCAAAGCAATTCTAATGATTCTGAGTGTATTTGATTTGGAAAATGGAAATGCTGCTTGTGCGTTTTAATGCAAATGAACATTAGACGAATCTCTAAGAAGCGAGCTGGTCATTCAGTTGCGAATCGAACGGTGAATGGTAATGCAGTAATCGTAAAACGCTCTGTTTAGTGAGTGACAGTAATGAAATTGGAATACCTATATCACTGTAGTTGCAATTATATTTGAATATCGTGTGCTATAGTTACCGGATAAATGTGTGCGACAAATATAGCGGTTTGAAAGCTTCAAAGAGCTTATGAATTATATTTTTGATAATACTTAAAATTCAAGTGTCTAAGGAATT